GTCCCCAATCTCCTTTTTAGGATCCTCACTTAAACCAGATACACTAACCTTGTTCCCTCTTAGGAAAATGTCTAACCAAATATCAACAGAGCTCCTAGGAAGGTAACAGCCATTCAAAAGTATGCTATGACAAAAGCTAGTAGCTTACATAAACCTGGTACAGCTGAAGACCCAACTTTCTGGGTCCCTATCAGACACAGGAGACCAGTATGAATTTCCTGGTTCCAGGATTCAGCTTGCCTTGATCCTGCCTGCAGTGGTCATTTGTGAACCTCTCTCTGCAATTTTGCCTTCCAAAAAAAGGAGGGGAAAGGGGAAAGATAATAAAGTAAAAAAAAAACTTTCCACTTATTGTAATTGTTAATTTTAAAATCAAATAAACTTTCTTGAGGTCAGTATTAATGGCACAGCAGGTCTAACTACCATCTATAACGCTGGCATCCCATAGGGCACTGGTTCAAGTCCTGACTGCTCCACTTGCAATCCAGCTCTCCGATAACATGCCTAGGAAAGCAGATGGCCCATGTCCTTGCGATCCAACACTCCTGAGATCCAGATGGAATTCAAGGCACCCGGCTTGAGCCTGGCTCAGCCCAAGCAGTTGCAGCCATTGGGGAATGGCCCAGCAAGTGAAAGACTTCCCTCTTTTCCCTACCTCTGTAATTGTCCTTCATGTAAATAAATAAATTAACCTTTTTTGGTTTTTTCTTTAAAAAGCCTTCTTGAATGAAGCTATTTCTTTCCACCCACACTGGGAGCTAACTAACCACTGGAGCAGGCTTTCACCGGGATGGCACTGCTGACACTGTGAAGCAGGGAGCTGCCAGTCGGATGGAGGTTGTTGCCAGCCTCCCTGCTCACCACCTCTCTCTGAGGCGGCCCCACCCCACTGAGAGCCAAAACTTTCTCCACACAGCCAAACAGAAGACAAAATGCCCCAAAGTTGGCAGTCATTAAAACAAATAAAACAGCAGTAGCCAGCACAGGATAATCATTCATTAGACATGAATTTAGGGGCTGGCACAGCGTGTTAAGCTGCCCTCTGCAACACTACATCAATTCAAGTCCCAGTTACTCCACTTCTTCTCCAACTCTATGCTAACGGGGCAGGGAAGCCAGCAGAAGACAGGCTCTGTGCTCAGGGCCCTGCTCCCCATGTGAGACCAAGATGGAGTTCCACGCTCCAGGCTTAGGCCTGACCAGCCCTGACCACCATGGGCAGTGAACCAGCACATGGCAGATAACAACCTCACTGTTTCTCCCTCTCACTTTGCCTTTCAGGTAAATAAATCTTTATTTAAAAACACATACAGGGCCTGGAGGCATGGCCTAGCGGCTAAAGTCCTCGCCTTGAATGCACCTTGAATGCACCGGGATCCCATGTGGGCGCCAGTTCTAATACCGGCAGCTCCACTTCCCATCCAGCTCTCCAGCTCCCTGCTTGTGGCCTGGGAAAGCAGTCGAGGACGGCCCAAAGCCTTGGGACCCTGCACCTGTGTGGGAGACCTGAAAGAAGTTTCAAGTATTTGGCTTCAGATTGGCTCAGCTCCAGCCCTTATGGCCATTTGGAGAGTGAATCCATCAGCAGACGAAAGATTGAAGATCTTTCTCTGCCTCTCTTAAAATCTGCCTTTCCAAAGATAAATTAAAAAGATATATATATCTAAGGATTATCTAATATGCCTAATAAGCCAATCTTATTTAATTATTTAAAATCTTAATCCACTAAAATGTTTCAATCTTAACTTTTTTATGAATTTAAAGAATTTCCACAAAAGCCTTTGAATACAAAGGCCTAAAAATCCATTCTCCATCTCCCTCTGCCTCCTACCCTTTCAGAGGAAGACACAGAGACACAAGGAAGGGAAGAAGTGACCTACAACTAAGAGTCTGGATCCTTCCCTCAGTCCAGTGTGGTCTCCATCAGACCAGAACATATCCAGGCCCCCACTGGCAGTCCATCTTTCTCTGGGATAAGGACTTAAGGAAGGGTAAGTGACTTAGGCAACTATGATTAGAAGAGTACAAAAGAGAGAGAGAGAAAAAAAAGACTTCCTTTCTCAAGTGTTGGTATCAACTTTGTTTTTAAAAAGGTTTACATTCTTTCTCTATGAAATTCCATGATTTTTTTTTACTACCATTCTACTGCAATTCATAAATTGTTAATATACCCTAAAATATTCCATATTATACTATGGCATGATTTGTTTACTATTCCACACCTCTCAAAGTATTAAGGTTGCCTCTAGTTGGAAGAATATTTTATATGAAAATACTGATATACAAACGATTATCATCTTTCATTCTCATTGGTACTGTATACTTAAACTGCATTTCAAATAGCTCACAGCACTGTACAGTCCCACTGGCAGTCTCACCTACCCTATCGTTGAAATCCACTCACTCAAATGAAACCTGGCGGCAGGTATTTGTTTAGTCAAGATGCCTGCATCCCCTTATCAGAACTAACAATCCCAGCTTTAATTCTGATTCTAGCTTCTAGCTAAAATGCATCTGGAGGGAGGTAGGCGCTGTGGCATAGCAGAAAAGCTTGCAGGCAACCCATCTGGGCGCTGGTTCAAGTCTCAGCTACTACATCTCCAATCCAGCTCTCTGGTGATGCATGAGAGATGGCCCCTTGGGCCGCTGCGCCTACACAGGAGGCCTAAGAAGCCCCCGGCTCCAGCCTGGTGAAGCTCCAGCCACTGGAACAGATGCAAGAGCCCCCGTACTTCTGCATTTAAAAAAAAAAAAAAGCACCTCCTGGGAAGCCTCATTTTCAGCTCCAGTAGCTGAGCCCTGCCACCCACGTGGGAGACTTGGGCTGTTCCAGGTCCCTGTTCGGCCTCAGCCCAGCCCTGTCCATTTTAGGCACTGGAGGAGTAAACAGTAGATGGGAGCTCTTTTTTTTTTTCAAGACGTATTTATTTATTTGAAAGGCACAATTACAGGGAGAGACACAGACAGCTTCTATTCCTGGTTCACTCCCCAAATGACCCTAAAAGCCAGGCTGAACCAGACCAAAGCCAAGAATTCAATCCAAGACTCCATGGGCAGCAAGGGTCCAAGCACTTAAGCCATGTCACTGCTTTCCTACACACATTGGCAGAACACTGGATCAGAAGTGGAGCAGCTGGGATGTGGGTGATGGACTGAGCCAGGCAACAGGAATGAGACACGATGGAGTGACAGTTTTAGTCCCAAGTACTCAGCAGCCAGTTTAGCCTCCTGCTAGCAGGCCTGGGAGAGTATCAAAGGACACCTTCCCTGTCCCACATGGGACACTCCACATGGGAGTTTCTGGCCCAGACCCAGCTGCTGCCGCCATTTCAGGAATGAAACCACCAAATGTAAATGCAAAGTATCTTTTACTTTCTTTCCCTTTCTCTGCTGTTCTACCTTTCAAATAGATCTTAAGGGAAAAAAAAACTCTTCACTATGAAATAGGAGAGGAGGGCCTGACGTGGTGACCTAGTGGCTAAAGTCCTCGCCTTAAACGCGCCGGGATCCCATACAGGTACCGGTTGTAATCTCAATGGCCCCACTTCTCATCCAGCTCCTTTCTTGTAGCCTGGGAGCCCGGGAAAGCAGTGGAGGACGGCCCAAAGCCTTGGGACCCTGTACCCATGTGGGAGACCTGGAAGAGGCTCCTGGCTTCAGATTGGTGCAGCACCAGATGTTGCGGTGCCCTGGGAAATGATTCATCAGAGAAAGATCTTACTCTTTCTCTCCTCCTCCTCTCTGACTTTGCAATAAAAATAACATAAAACTTAAAAAAAAAAAAAAATAGAAGAGGACTCCAAACAGTACATAAACAAATTGAATTTTAAAATAACTCAACTGACTAGATCATCTGCCTACAGTACTAAGATCCCATATGGATGCAGGTTCACATCCCAGCTGCTCCACTTCCCATCTAACTCCCTACTTAAATCATGGGAAAGTGGCAGAGGCTGATCCAAAGCCTTAGGATTGCACCCACATGAGAGGCCCAGAAGAAGTTCCGGGCTCCTGGCTTCGGATTGGCTCAGCTCCGGCCACTGCAGCCATCCAGGGAGTGAGCCAGCGGATGGAAGATCTCTTTGTTTTTCCAACTCTGTAGATCTGTCCTTCCAATAAAAATAATTTTGTTCCACAAACTTAAAAAAGAAAATTTGACATCCAAATATTTATCTCTTGCAAGACAAGCAAAATATGCCTCTGTAACAAAGACTATTTACTAGCTATTATTTAATAGCACCTTTACTATGCAAAAATTCTCAGTAAATACCCACAATTAAGTATCTAGAATAAAAATGCACTTCACAGTCCAAAACACAATTAAACAACTTTTGCAACCCAATGTAAATATAGCTCTAGAGTAGAATCAAGAACTGTTAAAGACAAATCAACTATAAGAAAAGGCAGCAGGGCCCGGCGCGATACCATAGTGGTTAAAGTCCTCGCCTTGCACAAACCAGGATCCCATATGACCACTGGTTCTAATCCTGGCGGCCCTGCTTTCCTTCCAGTTCCCTGCTTGTGGCCTGAGAAAGCAGTCGAGGACGGCCCAAAGACTTGGGACCCTGCACCTGTGTGGGAGACCTGGAGGAGTTTCCTGGTTCCTGGCTTCGGATTGGCTCAGCTCCAGCCGTTGTGGCCACTTGGGGAATGAACCATTGGATGCAAGATCCTCCTCTCTGTATATCTGCCTTTCCAATAAAAATAATAAATAAATCTTTAAAAAAAAAAAAGAAAATGCAACAGCTCGATTTTTGAAACTCTAATTTAAATGAAATTTAAAACATACAAGTAAGGGTCCTGATCATACAGAAGGATGACATTCAAAGCTCACAATGTATGCTCATCAACTCACTGTAACTTTTTTTTGGTAATAGTAACTTAACAGCATTTTAACTCTAAACTGAACACGTTAAACCAAGAATCCAGAGACACAAATAAATCTTTTAAAATCCACATACTAAAAATAAACATTAACCCACACCTATCATCCACAGTTCTGATGTTTCTTCCCAATGAATTGACCATTACATTTCCGCAGTTCTGAAATGGTCAACAGACCAGAGAAAGACATTTCTGTAGGCTCCTGCTTGAAACCAACAGCTTCAGCAAACTGTGGGTCTTGATTCAGGGCCGAAGCAAAGCCTTTCAATAAGCAAACTACACAGGGAGATTCCCACCGGCTCTCAGTCTAGCTAGCAAATGGGAGCCTCAACATACTGAAAGGATACGCGTCAGGCAGTGTCTGGTCATTGGAAGGGACTGATTGGAACAACGAACGTCATCCACAAAAGCCAAGCACCTCTGACTGGAGCGCGTTGTATGAGCCTAAAAATGGAAAACACAGGAACTCATACAAGAACATGATGAGAACATTCACCTACAAAGCATTTCCTTATTGGTTACTTTCAACATGGGTTACTTTTCACCTGGGTTTCCTACGCCCCCTACTGCAGAGCCTAGGTCTGAGTCCCCACTCTGTACCCACACTAGCTTTCTGCTAATTTGTCCCTTGGAGAGTGCAGCCGACCTTCGCGCGTGGGTCCCTGTCCCCCACACGGGCGAGGCAGCAAGGTCTGGCGCTTGGCTTCGGTCTGGTCCAGCAGAGGGTGTCCAAGCATGTGGGGGTACGATCAGCAGGTGACAATCTCTACCTTTTTTTTTTTCTTTCTACCTTTCAAATAAAATGAAAATGACTTTTGTTTAAATAACAAATTTGAGTCACCTCTTCTTCCTGTAAAACCTTACTCCCTTTGTATTCAGCTGCTTCTGCTCTATCTCCTGGCTTTCCAAAACTGCCAAGCTAGAGTTTTAACCTGTGCCGAATCTGAACTGAGGACTAGGTAAACCAAAGAACTATCCCAAGTCACAAAATCGTAGATAAGCCATCTGTGCCAGGCCTGGATACCATGTTCTAATAGCTATCCTAATTTTGTAAATAAACGGAATGTATATACCTTAGAGTATCAGTGTTGAACGGCATCCAATGATCCATCTGCTCTGGCCTTACCGTGCCAACCACAGGTGGTACTCAAAACTCAGAATTCCACAGACTAAGCTGACAAACTTTTACGCCCCACAGATGTTATGAATATCAAAATGGTCCTTGGCAGGAAAGCAGAGTTCCGCCACCCCTGCCCAGAAGGCTTACCTGCTGAGCGGCACCTTCTGTGGCGAGCATCCTGCGCTCCTTCAGCTGCCTGTGCAGCAGCGCCTCCACGCCGTAGCGCTGGCGGTAGCGCCGCAGACATTTCAACTGTTTCAGATTCTCTCGTTCTTTGGCCAAAAGTCCCTCTGGGCCAGTTAGAAGACTACCACCTGGGAAGTCACAAGAGCCAAGATCTCCATCAAGGATCCATCTCCAGATCAACAAGTAAACAGGAAAAGCTTTGGCTGTCAACATAAGCACTTTAAAAAGCAAACTGTCCTCTATACCACATACTACGATGGAAGTAAGTCCAATTACTCCCCATCCCACCAGGCTGGACCCGTACAGCTGTTACAGGGACAGGAAACTTGCCTAGAGCCTCGTGCTCCACCTTGCGGTTGTGCAGGTAGCGGCGCTTCTTCTCCTTGAGCAGATGCTGAAGTCGCTTAAACTGATCAATGTATAAAGACTGTAAACGGATTAGCTTCTCACGCATAATCAGGGCCACTTCTTCTGCTGTGTAGACACCAGCGTGTCTGGAATAAAAAATTCAGCAAAGTATAACAACAGCCTGAGGAGCCAGGTCCACGGGGTATCAGGTTAAGCCACCGCTGGTAGGCCCAGCATGCCGTCCTCAGTCCTGGCTGCTCAGCTTTCAGCCCAGCTCCCTGACAGCGTCCACTGGAAAGCAGCCCAAACCAGACCCAAACATTTCAGCTCTGCCACCCACATGTGAGGCCTGGACAGAGTTCACAGCTTCTGACGGGCCTGACCGTGGCAACCGCGGCTGTTTGGGGAGTGAGCCAGCAGATGTAATATCTCTTTCTCTGTATCTCTGCCTTTCAAATAAATAAATCTCTAAAAAATAACTTTAAGAAAGTGAGGATGTAAAAAACATGGACTTTTTTTCTAATCCATAACTTGTATTGCTTTAATGATTTAAGAATAATCAGTCATAACCTTCTAAAACATTTCTACTTAATATCTTTAGTATGTTAGTATATTTTAATTAAAGTAAAAAAAGACATCAACAACAAATGCCTATTAACTTTTTAAAAGCATATTCAGATACTGCAACTCAAGCAGCCCCGTATATACATACTGTCCCCAGCTCATTTTGATACTATTTTCAAAATTCAACACCCCAAGTTAATCCTTAATTGTCAAATCTAAAACAGTCCGTATCAACTTTAAGCTGTGCTGCCTATTCCAAACAGAAACTCAAGGCATGCTAATAATTAGTGGAATACACATGATGAACAGAACTAAACTCAGGAGTGAAAGGCCTCGTCAAGGAGGCTAACCCTCCTTCTACAAGCACCAGCATCCCACATGGGCACCAGTTGGTGTTCCAGTTGCTCCCCTTGCCATCCAGCTCCCCGTCTGTGGCCTAGAAAAACAGTGGAGGATGGTTCCCAAGTCCTCGAGATCCTGTGCCGGTGTGGGAGACCCAGAAGAAACTCCTAACTCCAGGCTGCGATGGCCATTGCAGCCACTTGGAGAGTGAACCAGCAGACGTATCTTTCTGTCTCTCCTCTCTGTATTATGCCTTTCTGATTAAAAAATACTAATTTTAAAAACCAGGGCTGAAAGCAGCATTTTGCTAAAAAAGTTGTTTGTAATTTTTTACAAACAGGAGGGGGCCAGCATTGTGGCACAGCACGGGAAGACACCACGTAACAATGCTGGCATCCCACGCAGGAGTGTCAACTCAACTCCCTGCCAAGGACCCTGGGAAAGCAGGTGCCTGGGACCCTACCACCCTCAAGGGAGGGCTGGACAGAGATCCAGGGTGCTGGTTTTGGCCTGGGCCAGACAGCCCCAGCAGCTGCAGCCACTTGTCCCTCTAATTACGTCTTTCAAATAAGTAAAACGTTTTTTATAAAGCTGGTCCTACTGATGACAAAGCTACTGGCACAGAAGATGTAAACCCCTAATGAAAAGAATTTAATTAAATGAACACACCATTAAATTCCTGTACATAACATGCTAATAATGTCACTACACCAAGTTATAACATTTAATAACTCGATGTACATCCCTAAATGTGCATATACTTATTGGGCTTTTTTTTTTTTTTACTGGATAAGCTCATTGGGAATATTAAGTAAAGTCTTATATTAGCTGCCTATCTTTAATATTTGGGGCTGGGCCCAGTGTGGTAGCCTAGTAGCTAAAGTCTTTGTCTTGCACGTCCCGGGATCCCATATGCGCACTGATTCCTATACCAACTGCTCCACTTCCATCCAGCTCCCTCCCGGTGGCTGGGAAAGCAGCTGGGGACAGCCCAAGGCCTTGGGACCCTGCACCCGCGTGGGAGACTTGGAAGAAGCTCCTGGCTTCAGCTCAGCTGTGTCTGTGGCAGCCACTTGGGGAGTGAAGCAGTGGACAAAAGATCTTTCAGCCTTCTCTCTGTAAATCTGCCTTCCCAATAAAAATAAAATAAATATCTTTTTAAAACCTGGGGCTTTATTTTCCCTTTTGAGTATCTTTCAGGAGAGACTAATACCAACCACCAAGTCTTTTTGGCATTTCTTCTTCTCATGAAATTAAGTGGTATTCTGGATTAGATAGCATTCTTAGGAATTAATCTGTCTGAGTGCATGCTCTAGGGATTAAATCACTCTGACAAAACCAAATTTCGGAATCTTCCAAGCGGAGTTGATTTACTGTATGAAAGGTCAACTAGTGAATCCAGGGAGGATACGGGTCTTTAAAGCAAATATGGCCAGCTAGAATAATAACAACGACAAAAGCAGAAGGCATATGTTTGGTGTGAGCTGTACTGGGACAAAATGCCAACAGGAAGCATTCTCTTTCAAACAACATAGATGGACTTTGCAAAAACAGAACTTCCTGGACGGCTGACAGCCCTAAGATTACTCAACAGATGAACGAAATTATTCTGCCCACAACACGTAATGAGGGGCCATTGTGGCAGAGGGTCAAGCTGCCACTTACCACACGGGCATCCCACATCGGTGCCAGCCCCGGCGGGGTACGTGCCTGGGAAGGCAGCAGGCGGCGGCCTGGCCCTCCATGCAGGAACTCCTCATTCGGCATGGCCCAGGCCTGACTGTCACAGCAACCTAGTGAGTAAGCCACAAGACGAATACCTCTCTCCCTCCCTTCCAGCCTCTTTGTTTCTCAACAGGTCTCTCAAAAAAGAGATATTTTTAAAAACGGAAAGAAAATATAACCAGGGTCAGGCATGTGGTACAGCAGTTAAAACCCCTGAATCCCATCCCTGAGTGCCTGGCTCCCTCCTTGAGTCCAGCTTCAGTGTACTTGGCTCCCCGCCACCCACCTCGGACACCAGGACCAACGATCAGCTTCAGCCCGGTCCAAGCCCAGCTACTGCATTACCATATTAAGACAGGGAGAGCTCCAGCTCGGGCTCCCAAATCAAAACAAAACAAAAATCCCTAAGTACAAAGTTTTGCAAATGAAGCAGTTCTTCAAGTACAACTGGATTATCATTCCCGAGGTTTAGGCCAGGCAGCTGTTCACACCCATTTTGTCTTCTCTAACTGGGCTAAAGAATTTCTCAATCCACCTCCCACTCCCATGATCCAAGAAATTTCCTATTTTTTTTTTTTTAGTGCTCACATCTTTTTCTAAATTGCAAAACTTCTACAAAGTAAATTACATCCTGCCCTGAGGCAAAGCAGTGATGAACCGCGGCAGCTTTAAGAATCTGTCATTGCTCACAAAATTTGTCTTCTCCCCTGCCAGTGCGATTACTCTATTAACACCATGCAGTTCTACAGAGCACACACTACCTGCACAAAGTAGTCAAAAGTTTGACGTGGAGTGACGACTTACTTTAGGGGATCTTCTTGATCACTGTCTATGCTATCAGCTTCACTGTCAGGGTCACCTCTCCATGTCTGATCCACAGTAATGGGTTCCTGCTCCCCATCACTCCAGCTGTCTTCCTCTGAGGCAAGGAAGGGAGAGCAGCCATTAAGACTTCCCACCTCCGTGAC